GCCGGCTGAGGAAGCGGATACGTGGGCAACCTCCCCTCCTCCGCCACCAGCGACATGCTGAAACAGATGGGTGCGTCTCCATTTCCAGACCTCTTGGATCCCTTCCTCCCTCCCTTCCTCCCTCCCTTTCTCCCTCCCTCCCTCGTTGTGCGTGGTTGGGCGGGAGTGTCGTCCCCCCTTTTTCTTCTCTCTCTTCCTGGGCCCTGTCCGCCCCATTGCCTCATCCACCCTCTCCATTCCCCTACGCCTCCCTCAGCCGCCAGCGCGGGTCAAGTTGTGTCTTCCAACGTGGTTTGTCAGAAGGGAACCTCCATCTGCAAGGGTTTTGGTTTCGTGACGATGCGCACCCAAGCCGAGGTCAGGCCCCGATTTCTCCCCGTATTTCTCTATATTGCTTTCGTTTGCTCGCTCTTTTCCCCCGCTTTTCATTGTTTTGTGGACCCGGTGGCGGTGGTCACGAAGCCTGGGGTTGGGTCTCCTCCCCTCCTTCCTCGCGTCCCCTTCCTCCCGCCGCCTTCCACTCCTCCTTCCTCGCACCTCACCCGGCGCAGGTTCTGCACCTGCGCTTCCTCTTTTGCTGCCTCCTCACGTTCTCGGCCTCCTTTCGTTGTACCCCTCACCAGGCCTCGGCGGTCATCCAAGCATTGAACGGCCTGCCCATGGGCGATCGGTCTCTCAAGGTCAGTAGCAGAGAAAGAGTAAATGGGAGGGTGGAAAGGAGGGAGGGAGGGGGAGATTGGGTCACTGTTTGAAGCCTTTATCCGTTTCTTGCTTTATTGAAGGACTTCAACAAGAGATCCTCTCTCTTCGTCTCGACCTTCCTCCTTCCGTCCCATACCTCACCCTGTCTCACCACGTTGCTTCTTGCCACTTGTCATGCGCATTCCCTTTTCATTGCCTTCATGTCCTCCTTCTTAATCTTGTCATTTCCGTTACCTTCTACGCACGCACGCCCTCCCTCTCGTTGCTTCGCGCATTTTCTTTTTTCAGGTTACCTTCCGTCAATCTTCGAGCAAATAGGTTTGTGGATATCCTATTCTTCTTCAGATACTTTTTACGCTTCCTGGTCTCCTCACTCCTGCTTTTGCTTTTTGACAAGTACGCTTTTTACTGGAAGGAACAAGGAGAGGGTAGGGTGTTGTGCGGCCTCTCTTTTAAAAATGTGAAAGCCCACTTCCTACCTTCTTCGGATGCTTTCTACTCTTCTAAGCTGCTTGCCATGCAACGCTCCCTTTCTCTTCGTCCTTCGTTTTTCTCGGCAGCTTTGTTTTCCTCAAAATGCGACCTAGTGTAAGACCTTCTACCTAAGCCATACGACGCCGGTCATCGGAGGGTTTTGGAGCAAGTGTGACTCATGGAGAACGTGAAAAAAGCAAGTCCAGGAGATAAAGAACTGAGCCGTATTCAAAATGATTTTCCAATGTCACAGGTGCACAGCCTGGAGGTGCCCGAACCCTCGAAGAAGAAAAAATATTTTATGCGCGACCTGATGACGCTTGCACGCTTTATATTTCTAGGCCTCCTCTAGCTCCCTGCACCCCGAATTCACATCATTTTTTTGTATATAATAACCTTAAAAACATAGCAGATCCTACGTAATACTACTATTGTCAGCAAGCGTTTTTTGGACGCGGCGTTTACGTGCGCCTGGTTTATAACTTACCATTTTCAATCCCAAGGCCGGAGCAACCGTTGTGACCTCAAGGAGGCAGGAGGTTCACCATACAACGCAAGTGAGCAAGTCATCATTTTCCCTTTCCTACAGGTTACCGCGGGATTTCATGGAGCAATGCGTGTCGAGTGTCAAGTTGTGTCATCGTCGCAAGCTTTTATCCGCTCAAATAGCATACTGTGTCCGAAAAGGCGTCAAAATCCGTTCTCTTCATGAAAAGTACGGGGGCAACGAGGGCACAACAATGCAGCACAGCGGGAGCAACAGGGTTCAAAATAGCAGCAATTTCTCAGAATGGCTGCAGCAATGCTATAATATGAGTCTACCGTACGCAGGCTCGGCTATAGAGCTACAAGTGGTTTTGTATGCAGGGTCGGGGGAAGACGAGGAGAGCGACGAGGACGATGAGGAGATCCCGGTGAGAGAGAGGGTGCAAGGAAAAAGTGAGAACCATGGAAACGCACTTGTCAGACACGGATACATTTGCTAGATCAAAGCCTTCCTACGCATCCTCCCGTGCCGGCACCTCTGAACGTAATTTTAATTCTCTACCCCTTCCAATGTCCTTCGTGGACCTTACCCCCAGCAGCCCCTGCCGCTCCCGCTCCCGGACATCATTCCCCTCTCTCTCGATGCAGAGAGCTGCAATAATTCGTCCACCCTCCATGAGGCCTACAATTCCCTTCCTTGGGACGCTCTTTGCCATTCACCGGCTTTCCAGGCATGGGCGGAGGGGGGGGCCTATAAAGGCATATCAGAAGGCCTTCCTCGTAGCTTCCGGGCAGGGGCCTTGTATGATCTGCTGGAGGCAATCAAGACACAGGCGAAGAAATCCCATGAAAAACGACTCAAGGACTTGATTTTGACGGAAGACGTGCGCTTGGAGGTGGAGACACTGGTGAGGGAGGGAAAGAGGAAGGAGGGAGGAAGGGAGGGAGGAAGGGAGGAAAGCGATGCGTCCACGACATCCCACCCCACCGAACGAAAATCCTCCAGTGTCATATTTTGCCCTGATTCCACCCTTATTCATCCATCGACATGACCAGGCGGGGTGTTCCGGCTCGGAGATTCTGGTCCGCCGCCACGACGCCGGCCAGGAGGTCCACGTCCATCTACCCCTGTGGCCCCCCCCGGCACTCCC